AAGCGTAAGTCCTGCCTTAATTCCCTTAAGTGCAGCTAATTAGGATTAACAAGTTGTCACCAAACTATTAATCCTATATAATGAGCTAAACCTTAAACATGTCATTAGTCCAGTAATGACTCATATAATAGGATGTGATCCAAGCATTCCCACAATTTACAAAGAATCTAAACACACCACTGGGTTTTCCCTCCAGTGATACTGGGTTTTTCCCTCCAGTGATACATGCTATTAAAGCTAAAAAATGGATCAATGTATATGGTATTGCCTCATGTTAACCACATGAGATTTCACATATACTTCAATATGGCTTTTGTACCATTATTGAAAAGATGAATTTCCAATAGGAAAAGGGCCTGATAGATCACATTTCCAACAACTCCCACTGAGACTGAAGGCGCTTTAACATCTTGTACATGACATTGCCTCATGCTTTCCACATGGGATTTTCATATACTCAGCTAGTGCAGTCACACACCACTTTTAGATTTTCTGGCCTCCACAGCCTTATATATGGTATTGCCTTATGCTACTTGCATGAGATTTCACATATACCCTACTAATATGATCATACACCAAACTCAGATTTCCCAGCCTCAATGGTTTTGTATATGGCATTGCCTCATGCTATCTACATGGGATTTATCATATACCTTACCAATGTGGTCATGCGCTACGCTTAGATTTTGTGGCCTCAATAGCCTTATATATGACATTTCCTCATGCTACTTGTATGAGATTTCATATATACTCTGCCAATGTGGTCAATACCACACTTGGATTTTTTGACTTCAATAGTTTTGTATATGGCATTGCCTCATGTTTCCTGCATGAGATTTCTCATATACCTTACCAATGTGGTCATACACTATACTTATATTTTCTGTCATCAATGACCTTGTATATGCATTGCCACACAAGGATGACACGCACAAATCGAGAAATTGTCCAAATTTTTCGATACAGAGAAGGAATTATCAATGCGAGTTGCATGCTTTATATATATATATATATATATATATATATATATATATAAACAACTGGATAACACTGAAGGTAAGAAAGACCAAGCTTTAGAACTTGAATTACAAGGGCATATGATCCTAAACAAATGTATTGACTTTAAGCGTTATTCCCTGACATATATAACTACATTTGTTTTATGGAAATGATCTTAAGATTGGAAGTTCAAAGTCAAGAACTCAATTTCCACTTAGCTATTAAGTAGTCTGCATAATCATAAGTTCATACATAAGTCTATTTCTAATTTATACAAGAGTAATCACATAGAAAATAAATCTATATGAATATTGTATGATATCTCTAACAACCTTGAGAGACCTCTTTGGTGAATCTCATTCACATCGTTTCTATCATTCTCTAACTTTTCTAGAGGGGTTAACCTCTTTTTATAGAGAACACATTTATTTAGTAACTTTCACATTCATGATCTATAGGAGTTGAGATCCAAGTGTAACTACTGCCTTAATTCCTTTAAGTGCAGCAAATTAAGATTAATAAGTTGTCACCAAACTGTCAATCCTATATAATGAGCTAAACTTTAAACCTGTCATTAGTCCACTAATGACTAATATAATAAGATGTCATCCAAGCATTCCTGCAATTTATAAGAAATCCAAAGACACCACATGGGATTTCACATATACTTCAATATGGCTTTTGTACCATTATTGAAAAAATAAATTTTCGGGAGAAAAAAAGGCACGATAGGCCACATTTCCAACGATTCCTCTTTCTCTCTCTGTCTCTCTAATCTATAATCTATTTTATATCCTCTCCTTCTACCTCTTAATCTCTCTATAAGTTATTGAGATATATTTTCCAACTCCTAAGTGTCAAATATATATACCAACACCAATTTACATGAATGTCCTCAAAATCTTCAAGTTTTTATATATATTCCCATTGATATATGATGACATTTTTTATGAAATGTTATGTAGTTTTTTTCCATAGTAGCTGTTGTAGTTGGGTTGGGGCAATTGGATTTTTTTTGTCTAAAATATTTACATAAATAAGTGTTAGATCTATATTTATATTGTGGTATATGTATTGCAATCTAATGTCCCTTTGTAATGCTTCCTTATTGTAATGTATAGATTTCTAATAATAATAAAAAATTATGGAGCTACATAACAACCAAAAAATATTATAAAAAAAAGAAGAAAAGTTTATATAAGGTTACAACTTTAAAATGTAGAATCACAGATGCACCACAAAAATCGATCGGAAATGTTGTTTTAATGTTGAAAAATCCCTCTAATCAATCATCTCGACATCAAGATCTATGAATATGAAAAAAAAAAAAGTATTTGAATCTCGAAAATATTGCATCTTGCAACATATTATCTAGACCGTCCATCTTCAAGATTTTCATATATTTATAGATCTACTTGATTTTAACCATTTTTGAAATTTCAAATTTTCTAATTAGGTATGAAAATAGATTTTAAGATAATACTAAGAATTTTTTACAACAAAATGAAATGTTATGATAAAATTTTAAGGTCGCCTTAATTGGATTGTTTAAGGTTGCAACCTTATAGAAACCGCACCATAAAAACACCACATAGAATTTCAAGCAAAGTACTTACATCAACGACCATGCTCATATAGTGCTAAAAATAGTTGGGGGAATGAGTTTTTACCTCAATAATGAATATCTCGTGCGGTGAAAGGAGCACAAATAGAAAGGATCTGGGAGCTCTCTCTTTCTACTGCAACAATGATGGTTGGAGAGAGAGAGAGAGATATGGCTATGGAGTTCTCGTAGTGTTAGAGAAAGTGAACGAGAAGCCGAAGAAGCTAGGGCACACCGTTAGTAAGAGAGAGGGAGAGCCGCAGTGAGAGAGTACACGAGAGAGAGGAAGAAGGATTAGGGGATTTGAAAATGAAAAAAGGAGGTTTTATAGGACAGTTGTGAGAAATCCGTGAAACGGTATCATGGTGATGCCATTGTCATGGTTAGCATCACAGTTCTAAACTAACCATGATGGTATACGCTACCATTACGGTTCTACAAGTACTGTGGTGGTTCAAATGGCAACCTAGCATCATGGCTCTTTTAGAGCTGTGATGCGTTAAACCCAACACGAAAAGGGTTTGCACCTTCTATGACTATCACAACTCTTAGTTAACCAAATGAGCTTCACAATTTTTAGTTAAAAAAATAGGAATAGTGATGAAAATGGGTACGATGAGGCTTTTTAAAACGGGTGCGGTTTGTATAGAGCCTAGCTCTAAACAATCAAATTAGTGCCTACCTTCAAATAGTATAGAGAAATATGGTTTCAAAACTAGAAATCTTTTTGATATCCTTAAAATATATTTTTATCTTTATTTATAAAGTTTAAAGCTTCAAAATTAGTGTAGATCCAGAGATCTATGAAAACTTGAAAATCTTGAAAATTGACGGTCCAAAAGTACCTTACAAAATACACTACTTCCAAAACTTGAAATCCATTTTTTTCTCATATCCATGTATCTTGATGTGGAGATGAGGAATTTGAGGATATTTGAGCATCAAAACAATCTCTTTTAGTGAAATTTTTGAGGTAGATTCAAATTTGATTGTTCAGAGCATCGGCTCTATATAAACTTTTTCCTTTTAAAAAAGATCTTATACCATGAAATCATTTATGTTTGATACAAGGAGGTCACAATTTAGAGTTTTTTTTTCATGACCTTAAAAAAAAACAAATGTTTAATAAAATATTTTTTTTAAAAAAACCCCTAAATAAGACTAAGACTATGAAGGCTAGAAGCAGTGGTTGATAAGGAGATAACCCTACTGCTCAGTCACGCAAATGTGATTAAAAGGGTCGAGGGTAATTTGATTGTATGTTTTAAATCACGCTTGCCCCACGTTAATCCTCCTTTTGCCTGCTCAGCGGAGGATGAGAGACCGCAAATGCCCTCAGTTCAAACCAGCTTTACACCTGTTTAGAGAGAGACAATTGTAGTCACCTACTATCAGAGAGAAAGTTAGCATGCGGACAACAATAAATATATTTTTTAAATATAATTTGATACTATTTTTTAAAAGAATTTATGATCTTTAACATATAGATCATGAATATGAAAAAGTAAATAAATTTTAAAAACTTAAAATAAAATTTATATTGAGAAAACATTTGGACCCATAGTTTACAATTGTTTTTAGGTGGACCACCTGCTTGCCTTCATTTTTTAGATGGATATTTTATATGCTTTGTACCACTAGGCCACATATTGTAGAAATGCGATTCAGCTTGCATGAAACAATTGTTCGAAAGGGTAACCCACCCTTAAGTCTTAGGGGTTAGCAATGGACTCGGGGCCCGACCCAGGGCTCATCAGGTATACCCAAATGGGTGTGGGTCCACAATTTGGACTTGGCAGATCAGGTCTGGGTCCAAAACCTGAACCTGAATACTATTTGGGTTTGAGTTTTGGTTCGATTAGATATGATAACCCGTACTCGTAAACTGTTTTAGATAAAATACTTCAAACCCTATTCATTTGAGTGTATTAAAGATCATATACAATAAGAATTCATAATCATCTTTAGCTGTTAAACAACAAATAAGATAATTTGAAATCTAATGGCGGTTGTGACCTGGTTGTGACCTTCTTACCGCTAATTTGGATATATGATGGTGAAAAAAACGCAAAAATAATAATAATCATAATAATAAATACAGAACTCATAGTGGGTGGTAATAGACCCGATCAGACCCAGCTCATAATGAAGGTAGATCCAGCTCATAGCAATGGACCCGACCAAATCCGAGATTTGACAAGATAGATCCAGAGCCCGATAGGTACGATCTAACTTTTGGACCACAGATCAGATCCGGATCCAAAACCTGGATTTATTTGAATACCCGATCAGTTGCCACCCTACCCGGTGTCTTCCTCTTCCGTCGCATAAATATCCACACCAAATCTACCGGGCCCCACGACATTGCCCTCTCGCTCTATATGCCATCCTCTGTGAGAGAGAGAGAGAGAGAGAGAGAGAAGAGATTTTCTTCGAGTGTAGAGAGAGAAAAAGGCCTCGCCCTTCTCTCTCTCTCTCTACAGGCAGCACCACAGCTGTGGAAGGTCGAAGACGGACGCAGGCAGCATGGACCCTGTTGACCCTCACTCCTACGCCGACTCCTCCCAACCCTTCGCCTCCCACCTCGCCCTTTCTCTCTTCTTCGACTTCCCCTCTCGCACCATCCATGGCTCCGCCCTCCTCTCTCTTCCCCGCCCCCACGCCGGCCCCCTCACCCTCGACACCCGCTCTCTCTCTATCTCCTCCGCCATTGACCCCCTCTCCTCCACCCCTCTTCCTTTCTCTCTCAGCCCCATTGTTGACCCCATCAAAGGCCAATCCCTGACCATAACCCTCCCCGACTCTGCTCTTGCCTCCGTGCTGTTGACATTCACTACCTCTCCTCAGGCCTCGGCGATACAATGGCTTTCGCCTCCCCAAACTGCACTGAAAACCCACCCTTATGTGTACACTCAGTGCCAAGCCATACACACGCGCTCCATCTTCCCCTGCCAAGATACGCCGGCTGCTCGCCTGCAGTACACTGCCCTCCTCAACCTGCCTGTGGAGCTCTCGGCGGTCATGTCGGCGGAGCGCGTGGGCCGTGGTCGTCCTGAGCCGGGGCAGGCCCGGGGGGCATGTCTGGATGCCCTCTGGTGTGCCGACACCCGTGTAGTCGAGAGCTTCAATATGCAGTGGCCGGTTCCCCCATATTTGTTTGCTTTTGCTTGCGGAGCTATCACAGGGAGGGATATTGGGCCGAGGTCTAGGGTTTATTCAGAGGGGTCCTCTGTGCTGGAGGAGGCGGTGTGTGAATTTGCAGGCGTGGAGGAGATGGTGAGGGAAGGGGAGAGGTTGTTTGGGGGGTATGAGTGGGGGAGGTTTGATTTGTTGGTGCTGCCCCCAAGCTTTCCTTATGGGGGAATGGAGAACCCGATGATGGTGTTCTTAACGCCCACTGTGATCGCCGGGGACGGGACTGGGGCACAGGTGGTGGCGCATGAGCTTGCCCATAGCTGGACCGGGAACTTGATCACCAATACCAATAATGATCATTTCTGGCTCAATGAGGTTAGTTTCTCTCACTCGTGGGGCTCTGGTTTAGGTGTTTGGAACAATATATTCCTGGTCACTGCCTTTGAGTTTGCTCTCAAATGGTTATCTATTTGCATTTGTTCTTTTATCTCTGTTTCATAATGGCCATCTGCTTTTAATTTGATCTATCCATCTCTGTTTCCATCTCTGGTTTGAAGCAGTCAATGTAATTTTGATTAGATATAGCTTTTGTTTTTGGGGTGAATGAGGGGATGGGTATAAGGTCTGTGGCACTATGGTATTGTGGTTCAGACCCATCTATATGGGGTTTTGAAGTTTCTGGTTTTCTGAATGTGATTTATCTGGTTTTCAAGGGTTTCTAGGCTTCTTCTTTACACTGGTTCATACCTTGTTTTCCTTCTTATGTTAGACTCAAAGACATTTATTGATGCATCTTGTTATTGACTGGGAATTTTTCTTTTCCTGTTCTTTCTCCATGGTCTGTTGGTTTTATGAGATTTAGAACTGTTGGGGTTCTTAAACCACTTGGCTGTTTTTATTATTTTTCGCTGGGCTTTGAACTGCAGAGTTTGATGTTGTGTTTTTTTTCTGTTGTCTTTAAAAGAAAAATTTCTTCTATGTCTGCTTCTCTGAATTGATTTTCTGCATGGTAGGGTCTGTTTTTTTATGTCTATGTGCAGGCTTTTATGTCTGTCACTTTTCCAAATGGCTTTTGGATGGCACAATATTATTTTGATTCATATTTATGCTGGTTTTGCATGATAAAGACCTTTTTTCTGTTTTAGGGTTTCACTACATATGCAGAGAGGAGGATTGTAGAGGCTGTTCAAGGAGAAGAGATTGCTGCTCTGAGTATTGGAATCGGGTGGAGGGGTTTACTAGAAGAAGTGGAGAGGTTTAAAGATAATATGGAGTTAACAAAGCTGAAAACAAACCAGGAAGGTATTGATCCTGATGAAATATACTCTCAGGTTCCATATGAGAAGGGTTTCCAATTTCTCTGGCGTATAGAACGCCAGGTGAGTATGCTTTTTTGAGTTTTTTCTCTTTTATCTGTTCCTTTTAATGGATAAATGGAGTGCTGATTCACTGGTTCTGAAAGTCTGCTATGAAGATTGTGTTTTGGCGAAAGCCTTTATTAAAACCAACGCAATGGTGACTGAAAAGAAATTTGGACTTCTATATTTGCATAAAAGTTAACTCCTTTAGGCAACATGATTCAAAGAATTAGATGTCAATTGTCGATGATTTCTACACTACTTCCCAAGATCTATTCCTACTGCTGAACTACCAGAAACATACAAGTGATTTCTGTGCAGTAAAACTACTATTTTTTTTTCTTTCTAGTTTATTATCATTGCTGTGATACTAACGTGCTACAACATCAGGCATGAATTCAGTTACTGCACCAGTAATTCGTTTAATTGAAGATAAATGTTGACCTTTCTGAGGAATACTCATGATTCACTTGATGCCATCAAAAGATATTTTGATTAGCCTTGTTGATGCTGCTGCTTTTGTGTGTTTTTCTTTTCCTTTTCCAATTTTGTCCTAACCATGGGTTTAACTCAGATTGGTCGCCCAGCTTTTGATGAGTTCCTGAAGAAATACATTGCAACTTTTAAGTTCAAGTCTATCGACTCCGACACTTTTGTTGAATTTCTCAAGGCTAATGTTCCTGGGATAGAGAAAGAAATCGATTTGCAGTTATGGGTGGAAGGTACAGGCATTCCTTCTGATGCCATGGAACCTGTTTCTAATCTTTATACGAAGATTGTCTCCTTGTCAAAAGATTTTGTGCTGGGAAAGCTGCCCACAGAGGAGGATGTGTTGGACTGGCGTGGCCAAGAATGGGAGCTTTACTTGGAGAACCTCCCCAAAGTTCTTGATCCCTCGCAGGTACTCCCTACTCATTTCTTTGTTTCTGTAGTTTGATATTTTGAATTGTTTTGCAATTTTTTCCCAAATTTGGTATTCCTTTGTTTTTTGACGGAAGAACAAATGAGAATAATATTGGAAATTGTGAAGAAGGCAATGCAACAATGCAAGGAATTTACAAGATCTTGGTAAAGACACTGACCAAAAATATATTTAGTTCACCCTCCCAAGCAATCCTCATTTTGCTTGCACAATAGACCCTCTCCCTCTCGCTACTGCAGTTTGTGTTTCCAGTTATAGATTTTCCAAGCCATTTTCCACTGATAAATTTGCCAAGCCATTGAGCTAGAGCAATTTTTTTTTTTTCTTTTTGGGTGAATAAGCTAGAGAAAAGTTGAACCATGAAAACTGCCACTATGTACATGGTGCTTGCCATTTTAGACAAAATGAACACAGCATATGTTGCATATCTTTTACTCATTTTGATTCTTAGATGACTAAAATGGACCCATATCCACAAACGTGTGTGTGTGTGTGTGTGTGTGTGTGTGTGTGAGAGAGAGAGAGAGAGAGAGAGAGAGAGAGGAGAGAGAGCAAGGTGTTCTATGAATTGGGTTTCTCTCTATTCTCATTATTAGAGGTTGGGATAATTCACTGTTTCTTAAGAGATCTCTTGAATCTCAACTATTTCTTGCTCTCACTGTATCCTGTCAGTGCTGCATTTTCTAGCTTTAAGATGTAATCTCAGACAAAAATTTCCCCGAATGCTTATCTACCTAATGATTGGGGCAAAAATTCCCCTTAGTGGTTATCTACCTAATGATTGGGGCAAACGAGAAATGGGATTTATAAAGAAGTAAAAAACAGAATTCTCAATTCTTGTTGCCCTGGATTGCAGGTTCTGGCATTGGATGAGCGATATAGATTGGCCGAGCACAATTATTGGGAGGCGAAGGTGGCGTTTCTCACTCTAGCTGCTGCCTCAGGATGCAGGGACTACTACGGTATGATGGAGAAAACTTTGAAAGAGGTTGGAAGGATGAAATACCTTAGGCCTCTCTATACTGCACTGGTTCAGGGCAACTCCAAGGACGAAGGGAAGATTCTGGCAAAGAGGATCTTTGCAGAGGCCAAGGATATGTACCACCCCATTGCCCAAGGGGTGGTGGAGTCCATACTTTCTAGGCACATGTGATCATTCTTCTCGCTCTAACAACACTTTTTTACTAGCAGTTAGACAAAAGGATAGTTTTAGGGCTTTATAAATTAATTTTGGATTTTGGGCTCCTTTTGATGGGAAGGACAGCATTGCTATGCTGTGTAAGGAGAGAAAGTAATGCTGCTTCTTTTTGAAGTTATATAGATCATTTCTGGCCTTTTTCGTTTGTGTGTAAAGCTGATGAAAACATATATAGGATGAATCACATGCAGGATGGTAACCATTTGGATTATTTTGGTTGAATTTTTTGTTTGGTTTTGGATATCAAATTTTGAACTGCTGCAATCGAAAAATGAAATGGTATGGTTAGACCAAGTTGAAATTATGGTGTGAAGAGGGGCTTGCTGCCCGGTTTTAAAAGTCGATAATCTGGGTTTGGATTCAGTAGCATCAGGAAAGGCTAGATTCTCTCTAAAATGCACTATTCTCCCCTTCTTGATTTAATTCGTCTAACAAAACTGTTACAGATGGAGAATATGTTCAATGTAGATTTCTTTTTTCGGTACCCTTTATTCGGCTGCTTTGCAGTGTATTGAAGGGTTGAGCACCCGCCATCCATTATTTTGACAGGTTGATATGATAATTTTTCTGAAGTGCCTAATTGAAGGATGATGCTTAATGCTTCAGTAATTTGTATGGGGACCATGGAGCTGTGGAATATGGTTCTATTATCCTGGAGCATAAAGGATTGATATGATGCTTAATGGTTCGATTATTGGTTATGGGGACCATTATTTATGTTCCTTTGTTTAGAGATGCCTTTTTTGGTTAATTTGTTTAGAGATGTCTTGATCATGTGAAATGAATTTCTCAGGTGCTTTTCTGCAACTCATTTATTCATTTATTTTGTACGCTTTAACTAAAATTTATATTTCTATAAGAATCTGTACTAGAACGTATAGTTGCATCATCATAAAAGAGAAGAGAAAAATGAAAGAACCAAAATACATGTAAAAATTTAAAACAAAGTAAAAAATGCATAAGAACGAGGGTGGCAATGGGGCAGGCTTGGACCGGGCCAACCCTGGCCCTAGCCCTGGTCTCCATAAGGCTGGCCCTGGCCCTATTAGGGCTGGACCGGGTCAAAAACAAATGAAGAAAAATATGTGAAAAAACAAGGAAAAAAGGAGGGTCGGGAAGGGCCAGCGCTGGCCTTAGCCTAGGCCTCGGGCCACAATTTATGACCCAGGCCTTGCTTTTTTAGGGTCAGGCTAGGTCGCTGAAGCTACCGTCACACTTAGTACTTGGTACTTGCTTTTACACAAACTTCCACTGTTTACAATCCTTTTCTTTACTCAAAGATCAACCTTCTTTACTTTGTATGAGAACTAGCAATGTCTACCTGTGCACCTTGTTTAGCCAATGCTTCATGGTCATGCAAAAACCACCTGGTAAAGTGAGTATAGCACTTACGCGTTCCTCGTGCTGTGCATAAGGAGACCTGGATTACCTGATGCACTACTGTCAAAGTTCAGCTTGATTAACCGCTTGATGGTGGTTTCCACTTACTTGGTTTCTGAGTTTTCTTGACCTTTAAATGTAACAACTTCTTCCAATTAGACATCAAGCCTTCCTACGAAAGTCCTCTTAAAACACTTTTCTAGGCACTGCAAATGGCTTTTGTAGTTTGAATCTTGAATTTGATAGCACATTGATCAAGAGCTTTACCTTGAAAGCTCTGTTATGATGCTCTTTCCAAATTTTGCATATAGGGGCTGCAATTGCTATTCTCCATTGGTTTATACCTTAGGTAGCGGTGAGGAGCACCATTGCAACAGTAGCTGTTTGGCTGATCATGGTGTAAACCAAGGAAGGTTGAAGCCTCTCAAAAGCCAAGACTATAGAACACAATGTAGGGGTAATGCATAAATATATATCATTTTGTTTCTTCTTATGATTTAGATACATACTTGTTAATATCAAACCCTCTGTCTCAGTTGATCAATAGTTAAAGCTCTAATTCTTATGATATGTCTTGTACAAGGTTGGCAGTGACCAAGATTTCTTTGCAGCTTGCAGTAGATGCACATATCTGTGCCTTTCGATTTGAGTATAAAGGGATTTGACTGAAATGTCCCTTGAGGGGCTGAACTCCCAAAACTACCATGTCATTTCCTTACAGAAAATAATATAAGCTGGGCCTGAGTGTCACAAACTGATTCCCTGTGACATCAACCATTCTTTTGCATCTCAACCAAATGTCTCATGTTGTATTCCTTCAAATTCCAGTCACTACTTCCTTGACAGTGACATTCGTGTGGTAGGATTTTTTGAAAAAGTTCTGGAAATTGAATTTTAAAGGGGGCATCTAGGGCTGGCAATTGGCGGGGCCTGCCATGGCCCTAGCCCAGCCCAGCCCTGGCCTTGGCCCTGGACCTAGCCTTGTCACAACGGGACCAGGCTAAGTATAATCCAAGAAAAAAAAAAAGGAGAAAAAAAGAAAAAAAAAACTGGAGTGGTCTTGGTCAAGGCCTGGCCTGGCCTTGCCCTCGGGCCGTGGTGGCCCGACCCTAGCAGCCCTTGGGCCACATCTTGTGGCCAAGGCCCTTGTTTTTTTAGGGCCTGGCCTGGCCTCATCGCCCGGCCCATTGCCACCCCTAGGGGCATCATCTGGTGATTTATTAAGCTTGATTTTTATTTGAGATTCATTATCAAGAAGCATTTTGTTGTGTTTATTGAAAAGGGTCTTAGAAGAATTAATGCTTTTCAACAGAAGGATGCTGGCCCTTCAGATGACAATTTTCTAATAATACCCTTCTTTATTCAAATCATATTTGTTTTGGATTACTGATTTTCGTAGCAACCACCACAACTTTGTTAGGAGTTCCTAATTCATAGGGTTACACATCCGAATATCGAGACTACTCATTTTCGTTGGAGTATACATGGAATCCCAAACAATAAACTTTCTCATCATCTTTTTCATTCTTTTAGTGACTATATTAAGGGATCTAACATCGAAAATCAGTATACTGGCAATTTGGATAAAGTCGCCTTTATGAGAGGTTCTTCAACCAAAAGATAAATATCTTGCTGTTCATAAATCTAGCTTCATCAAAAGTCTGCCTTTCACAGGATCCTGTATGGCTTTGGCTGGTATTCTATTAAGTAAAGGCATGCCTAGATACTTGGTTGGAAGGGATTATGGTCCATAATATCATTTGTAGAAAAGCATCTGCCTATTGCAAATGCGAGATAACTAGACCACCTGTAAAACCTGCAAAGCCACTCAGCAACCCACTGTCATTAAAGAGCACATCAGAGTGAAAGATTCAGATACGTGGTAAACAAAACAGGAGAGAATGCCATTCTGAAATTCCTGTTTTGCATTTGAAGTATCTAAATGATATGCCATTGATCAAAACTGAATAGTCAGAGTAGGATAGGCAGCTCTACATCTAGTTCATCCATCTCTCTGCAAAGCCTATTAACCTTCTGATATTCGAAAGGTAATCCCATTTGATTCATTGGCATTTCTTTTTAAAATCAAGTTTACAAATTATGTCTGCTTCCCCAATTCTTTTCTAGAGTGAGCACTTTCTTGAGCTACCAAAATGTTGTCCATAATGTGGTGATCTTCAACAAATTCTATTTGGGGACCTAAAATAAGGTGTTGAAGCACACCTTTCAGCCTATTGCATGCACTTCAGTTATAATTTTGTATAGGCTTGATGAGAGATTGATGGTTCTTTTATCACATAAAATTTTAAGATTCTGTTAGCTTTATAAAAAGCACATCTTTAATGGAGATCTTAGGTCTTTTTCAGTTTGAAATGCTCTGGGGAGATATTCCAGTACAGTCTCTCTCTTTCTATATTGTTATTATTGTCCTCATTTTATTTGTATCCCTCGAAGACTGTTGGATCTTCTTCTCAAATTTGCAATTATATAAAAATGCTTGTTATTATTGGCCCCCTCTTTGATCCAGTTTGATCTTGATCTTGGAAACCAGAACAATTCTTCTTTTCTCAGCCAGTCATCTAATAGTGATTTTAAATTATTTCTCAACAAAATATTTTCCTCATGAAGGCCATTTTGTTGTTGTTCTCTCGTACCTAGAGCCTCAATTTAGCTTGTCACTTGGTTGATTTTTACCTACAATTTCCTCAAATATTTCTTTTTCAAAGTAATTAGTTTTGACTTTTTAAGAAAGGTCCCTCAAAATAAGTTTATTTTCATTCGTGCCAGTGCGTTGATGAATACAAAAAGGGCCCAACCGATACGGCCAAGTAGGGCATCAAAAAAGACAGAAAAAGTATAGATTCATGTATGAACAGATTGGTTCCCTTGACAAAATCAGGAACACAGATCATTAACATTCCACTAGAATGTCCATTTGTTGAAGGAACAAACTTATATTCTCTAGTTGGGTGTGTTGTTATAGATTCAAACATGGTTACAAAATGAAACAATGATCATGTAGCTCCAAACTCTAAAGGCTTTTGAAATAAACTACACTTCAGTATGCCCCTGAAATGCCAAATATTTTTTAAGTGGAGTCCATATCAGTGGGTTTCCAAAGTTCTCTGCTAGCTATGATACCATTTTTTTGGTACTTCCAATATAGTTGACCTGTATCCAAATATCCAAGTTCCATTATGATTAAGACTTTAAATCTTCTAAGAAATAACCTCTTTAGAAGTCCTTATCCTTTTAGAACAACAAAATCCCTTTTTATTAAATAATCCAAAAACAGAAAACAAGAGTTCTATATCCTTTGACCCCGTTGGTCCCATAAATGGATCTCTAGTAGACTGTTTCCATGAAAACCGCCCGTAATTGCTGTTTGGGCATCCCATTTCTGCATGGAGACCGATTTTCATGTTTTAAGCATTTTTTGGAAATGTCAATTCCACCAAAATAGGTGGAATTAACATTTCCGAGAGATTGAAAGAAAGGCATGGCCCCAAAAACTTTTGGCAAGTGATATTTTATAGACGGGTTTGAAGTTCTAGACAATCCAAACAATAGACAAACATTTTTGAAGTCTTACAAGATGCTATCCAAATAGCAAACACCTATATTCTAGGAGATGTCAATTCTAGGAGATACCAATTTCACGAGAGGCATTTCCCTAAGACACCATTTTCCAAAGAACCAAACGGCTCTCTCTCCTTATAACTAACCTTATCCACTTTGAGACAAGTGGATGGGGCGTGGGTCCCATGTGCGCCCAATGTCCAACTCAAGAAGGGGCCATCCAAGTGTGGAGCCTTGGCCATTGGCCCCCCATGTGTCCCACAATTTAACCTATACCTTAATAAATTTTGCAAAATCTAAGAAAAGACATAAAATAATTTTAAAGAATAAAATAAAGTTGTAATTGCTACAAAATAATTAAATTGAATAAAAACTTCATAACGCATAAATATAATTTGAAAAAATTATTCTCATTGTCTTATAATTTTACAAACACAAATAAACACTTTTTAGAAGTTGATTTGATCCAATCGGCCAAGAAAATACAATTTCTACGATACTCTACCTATACTAAAATATGTGATCCTTAGGCTGTCTTTTCAATCCAACCCAATAAGACTCATGACCCACAGTCAATCATAATAGCTCATGATTGCCCATCAAAATTGGCTAATAAATAATGGAGACACGAATCTAGCATGTGGATTATAGGTTTCTATCCATAAAGATGGGTTCTCTCTTCACCACATGCACATGACCATTTCTTAAAATGGCTGCCATCTTTACATGCTCTGAAGCAGTTGTTGAAGATTTGGCCCTTGCTCTTGTAAAGCTCCAGCAACATGCATGAGACCACAAGTCTTCTAGCTTATCATTGAGCATCTCTTCGATCTCAACGAGAAATTACTATACAATAGAACTCTCTTCCTTTGTGCGGTTTTGGACTCGATACGAGGTTTAGACTGCTCAACCTAGGTGAGTGTTCAAGGTGATCTTAAGTTGGACAAGGGAATGAATGCATAAAACAATTCAAGAAGGCTTCAATGCTGGGGCAGTAGCGTTGAACCCTGATTGGCCCAAATTGCCACCAATCACTCGACATCAGAATGCTCTAACTTCACTAAAAAATAACCATCATTACATGGGCGATATGGGTACCATCAGTAGATGCTGGTATCAACAACATTGATTCTTGATTGGCTCAAATTGTCGCCAATCACCTGGCATTGGAATGCTCAAACTGAAGTGAAAAGTAATCATCATTACGTAGGCGATGGGGTCACTATTGTTGAACATGAGCATCAACAAAGATTGGTCCTCATTGGTTGAAATCACCACCCATTTGTCAGAACTTGGGATGGTCAGATTGCAGCGAGAAGTAACCATCATTGCCTAGGAGAGGCTGGTAGAAGTGTTGACTCTACATGAAGCCACATTCTGGCCAAATTTGAACGTGAGATACCAGTAGTGACACCAACAGTGATAGTGGTGTTGTTGGCCATTTGATATGCCACCACCCAGATCATACTGAATTGACATCACAATCGCTATTTAGATTTTTAAATATTTTAAAGGCCGCAAAATGCAACAACACCGGTGGTGGCATTGGCGAGCCCACCAGTAGTCTTGATATTAGAAGGCCCAGATTTGATCTCAAATTTTGGACAGTGATTAAGAGGGTCATTTATTTATAAATAAGGGTCCACCCTGCTCATTATCAATATAGAGAAATTCTAAATTATGCCCAGCTACCGCATTGAAATCGAACCATGCCAGACGCCGCACTAATCCTATCTCCCTTTGACCCCGTACGTTCAGACCCCAACCTAGCATGCATGGACCTGTAAGTTTGCCCTCCCGAAAGCTTGAATAAAGTAGGCGCACCAACACTGATCCTAAACCAGCTTTGGGTATCAAGCCTGGGGGCCCAACTTCAAGTACGCTCTTCTATTTCTTATTTTTATTTTATTTTATTTTCTTCCATTCTGAAAAACTTTTCTAAATTCCTCTCCTTTTACTCAGAAACCTCGTTTTCAAAATTTTCTATCGAATTTCCAGTTTGGTCGTATTAGAAGCCGGCATTACCGGTGCTATGTGAGAGGGCAGTCTCGTGGCTTGCTTGTACAACAATTTGATAGGACCCATTCTCTATTGTATTCTCTAGATGTGTTTAGGCCCCAAAACAAGGTGAAGGTTACAGTCATTGCCGAAAATTTTAAGTATAAACATATTCATAGAATGATTTAATCTAAAAAGCCACTAGTAAATAAAGATTTTCTTTCTTAACATAAAATGCAAAACAACTACTAAAATCAGTCCCAATTTATGGGAAAGAGAAAGGTATTGAGTTTTTTTTTGTTACCAATTTGTAATCACTACTGTGATCAGGATTCCTGTGATGAATTATTCTAACAGTCATCAACAAAAGTAAGAAAGATTTTAAAAACGGATCCCAAAATCATCCAATTTTAATACGGATTTTAGGATATGACTAGAAGTTCTTCTTAATTGTTTATTTTTTCTTCTTAATTAAAAAGAAAGAGTGGGCAGGTCTGATTTTCTTCGTATTTTTTCTTCTTTCTGGATCAGGTAATTTCTTTGCAATTGTTATATTTGTGCATGAGAGATAAAGAGTGGTCAAATATGCCTGTGTGCGATGTCCAATGTATTTTTTGTGTGTGAGGGAGAGGGAGGCCAAATGAGAGAGATCCAATGTGTTTTGTGTGTGTGAGAGAGATATGCTCAATTTGTGTTTGTGCCATGAGAGATGTTTAATGTGTGTTTGCGTGTGTGAGAGAGAGAGGTCCTAGGGTTAGTACCGCGCCTTATCTGTAATGGGAATTTGAGAATTTGAAAACCCCTAAAATATTCAATAGTTAATAAACACTAAAAAAAGGAAACAAAATACCAATATTCATATACTTCTCAAGATAATAAAAATTCATATGCACCACGTCTATTTTTTTTCTTAAAAACCCAAAAATATCATTTATAATGATTTTTAATATTTTTGAAAATTTAAGGATAAGGCCAATCGGTGGGACGAAAAAAGGGTTGGATCGGGTCTAGATCCAACGCAATCCGAATTCTAATTCAAAAAGTATACATGAGATCTGCTTCCAGATGCCGATCCAATCGGATCCAGATCTAAATCCAAATATGATTAAATCCAAAAATTATTTTATATTTATAGAATAATATAAAATAATACATAACAAAAAATACTATTAACAAAATACTATATAACATATATGCATACGGGGGAAAAGTTTATATAGAGCCGAGGCTCTAAACAATCAAATTAGAGTCTACATCAAAAATTTCATTAGAAGAGCTTGTTTTGATACCCAAATATCCTCAAATAGATCATCTCGATATCAACATGCATGAACATAAGAAAAAAATGGATTTTAAGTTTTGAAAATAATGTATTTTGTAACATATTTTTGGACCATCAATTATCAAGATTTTCAAGTATTCATAGATATATCGATCTACACTATTTTTGAAAATTTAAACTTTATAAATAAAGATGAAAATATATTTTAAGGCTATCTTAGAGATTTCTATTGAAACCACATTTCTCAACACTATTTGAAGGTAGGCTCTAATCTGATTGTTTAGAGCCTAGGCTCTATAAAAACCGCATCCATGTATACATATAACATAATATATAATATTTAAAAAACTGGGTGGATTTGAATTGGATCTCCCTGGGATCCTAACTAAATTACTATTTGGATTTGAATTTGACCCATCATATCTAAATCTTTGATCCAAAACCAAATCCAAATAAGATCTAAAATTCAGATATCTGATCCAAACCAGATAAATTCTCTGCCCTACCAATCCGCCAAGGTGCATTTTTTTTGCCCGTGCTGAACACGGGAAAAAGAAGAAGGTATGCCCCTTTTTGAGTGAGCTTTGGCTTACGCTTGAGGGTTGGTTCAATCTTAGCCGTCCATTTATAAACCCCAAAACCCTATTTGTGCTGTCTGCCCCTTTCTCCCTCTGATTTCATTCCCCATGGGCACCTTGCTCGATCAAGCTCTGGGCCTCCAAACCACCAATCAGGCATTGCCACGGGGTAAGGTTTTCCTCATCAAGGACGGCGTTCGTTGCCATGGCAGTTTTGTGTTGCACCATCTCCTCACCCGCGCTTTGCCATCTTCTCTGGTTCTCTTTCTCGCTCTAGCCGAGCCTTTCTCTCACTACGATCGCATTCTCAAGAAACTTGTAAGTTGTTATTTGTCTTTTTATTTACTTTTTTAAAATCCAATTTAGCGCGATTGTAATAGGACTGATTTTGAGTCCACTCATTGATTCGCTGGATAGTGGCACAGATAATCTTTATGGGGCTGCTTATATAGAAATTTTTGTGTTTTTTTCAGAGAGCACGTTCTTATGTTTTATCACATCCTATTGGAATTGCTTACATGATGCTTTAAGTTGTTGGCAAAACAGGGGTGCAATTTAACAGCACAAAGAGAAAATAATAAATTCCTTTTCTTTGATTTGCTTCAGCTGGGGTCCCCAGGTGAGAATTTTGTTTTGTGCCCGATACTTTCTAAGAAACAAATTGTTGGCGAGATTTGTTATGAGTCGTTGTAGTTTAATTGATTATTAGTTTTCTGTAACTGAGCAAGCTTAACAACAAATTCAATCTCTTTATGGTATGTGATGGCAGTATTTGGTTTGATGTTTTTGAATATTAGGTGTGGAAAGGGAAAGTCTTGTTGAAGGTGGGCTATTTGAATTGTATGGAAAAATCCACAAAGTTGTTGAATTAAATGCTGCATCAAATGGCAATGGAAACATATGTATCATGATAGATGATGTGTCCCTTTTGGAGATAGCGGCTCGTGGATTCTTAGATTCTGTCTTAAACTTTCTGCATTACTGCCATGCATTGACCTCTGTTCAGGTTGTATAATGACCCATTAACATAATTGCATATATCTTGATTCTTTTTCTTTGGGTCGGAAAATGTGGGGTTTATCACCATTTTGTGGTCAATCATATTGTAAACCGAATTGACTGCTTGCGTTTATTCTTCAGGGATGCTCGCTTGTTCTGTTGGGTCATGAAGATATTTATTCAAACATGCCACACCCTAGATTCCTATTTCAAATAGAGTACTTTGCAGATGTCATGATAAGTGTCAAACCTTTGGCGACAGGTTTATCAGCTGATGTGCATGGGCAGGTACCCCACCACGATTGCGTTCTCTTTCTTCATGTCTTAGTCAGTGAAACAAGTGAAAATTTCCGTTAGCCTTTCTTCGTAATTTTTTATCGTTACCTATCATTCCTATTAATGTAATTTAAATTTTCAGTTGTAAAGGTGGTGTGGTACATTTTGGTCTTTATTCAGTATCACTGCTTAGTTGTTGTTGGTATGAGCAAAATCATTTCTTGTTGATATTTATTACAAAATTGCTGCTAGTCCAGGAGCTACAAAAGTTGGTTAATATGATGAAAAGGAAAAGAGTGTGCAAAATTGAGACCAGAACTAAGCTAGAAATAGGCATGATATTTTTGAAGTTGATAATTTTCAAATGTTTTGTCATTAATTCGCCACTTTCTATATTGTATCTAAGATGCTTATTAGGCTTTGATCTGGTGGTAGAAATCTAGGTTGCATGTGGGAAGTCAAAGGTTTGGCCCTTGGAAGTGTGTACTACAATGCTAAACTATCCTTATGTTTGGGTCATGCATTTAAGATGAGGCTCCAATGAGGAGATAATACCTATGATTGATGTGAGTTTTAGTCTAGGTGTCAGTCCCTCAGCAGCAATATATACGCTTGGTAAACTCCATTCCATGATAAAGCCATCTTTGCGCTCCTAGGGTGGTGCCCATTTAAGGAGTTTATCTTGCCTAAACCAGAGTTATTATTTGTATGTCCGGGAAAGTTCTGGCTAAATAACCCTGCGTTCAAGGTGGAAGGATGATTACATGTCAAATCGTAATTTTCTTAGCTGACATTGTTATATTTAGAGATGATCTTTTCTGAACCTCAAGCTTGCCAAATGTCATCATATTTAGCCTAAGGTACGGCCTCCAGAAGATTACCATCCACTTGCACTTGGGGATTATTGTTGCAATTTGGTTGAATAGTTTGCTAAAACCAGTGTTACAAAACATGGAATTGGGCAGGGGTTGGGTCGGGTCGCTCACCAAGTCCCGAGTCTGACTGGTCAAGACTCGGTCAAGACTTGTGATGTTGGACCAACAAGAATTGTATCCTACATGAATGTAAAAGCTCTTGGTCAGCCTAAGCGTTGTGGGGCCACAAGGTTTTAGGGTTGTTTGAAGGCTCCTACGGGGTCTGTGAATGAGGAATTTGAAGTGTAATAGTGACAGGAAGATGGCAACAATTATACGTTAGGTTGATGGGGTTATAGAAGTCATTAAGGCGTGTATTAACTCCTTTAATGGAGCTGAATCTTGCTGGAATTTTGCAGGTCCAACAAGTGTGTATGATGGCTGTGGAGGGGCAGAGGATGCTTAGGCTTTAGGAAATAATGGGGGTGTTTGGCTAGGAATTACATATGCTTGTTTAGGAGTTTCTAGAGAGTATTTTCAGATGGAGAAGAAGGGTTGGGCTTGGCGTGTTTGTTTGTGCGGAAGAAGCGCATGTGGTGAGATAGGGTAATGGTTTTAGACAGGGTTTTAAAAATCGGTGAGTCGCAACGAACTCGCCCGAGTCGACACAGGAATCAGTCACCCCGTGTCGATTCTTGTGTAAAACCGAGAATTGCCCGATCCTAGAGGAGAACTGGTGAATTTGAACAGTGGATCGTTCATATGACATCATGCTTGTGACGTCACAGGTAGGCGAGTCACTAACTGAGGATATTTTGGTAATTTAATTCAAAGCATAGGACCGTAGGTGTACCCCTTCTCTCGATCGCGTTGGCATAAGCGCTATTGTACAGGTATTTATTGCGCGTAAACTTTCTTTGATTCTTCGATGTGGGATTTGTGCCGAGTAATATAATGTTCGAATTTCAAAAGTTATTCAATATGAACAATTCTTGTAGAAAAGTATTCAACAGCCCACGATGGGCTGCGGTGGTTAGCAACAATGTTTCTTCTTGGGACGTCCCAAGCTCGAATCCGAGTTTTGGGGCGCGCTATTGTGCAATTTTATTTTTGTCTTCAAAAAAAATAAAAGAAATAAAATAATATCATAAAAAAAGACAAATAAAAAGAAGATAGGTTTTTACTTTTGTCCTCAAAAAAAAAATAAAAATAAGAAAATAATATCATAAAAAAAAAAAAAAGTAATACAACAAGCATTTCTTGCTCAAAAACAAAAAAGACAATACATCTTTTTTTTCTTGTAAAAAAAAAAAAGGTAATAAAACAAATATTTCTTGTCAAAAAAACAAAATAAAAGGTACTAGCAGCATCATTTTCTTATTTACTTGTAAAACAATAATACAAGAAGCAAAAAAAAAAGGGTAATATAACATCTTCTTTTTTTTCTTATCAAAAAACAAATAAAAGGTAATACAACAAGTATCATATTTTCTTGTTAAAAAAAAAAAAAAGTTATACAACAAGTATTTCATGTCAAAATAATAAAAGGTATTTCTTAATACAACAAATATTTTTAATACAAACTAGGAATAACTGATTTAATTGTAATTTTTATTTTTATAATACGGTAATCTTTAACATAAATTTAGGAATATTAACTTTAAGATAGGATTCATGCAATGAGACCATTTGAAATATCTCTCTGTCTCTAACAATCTCTTCCACTAAATTTATTCTAGAAATCTAAAAAATTATATTTTTGAAAAATTGAAGTGTTATTTTGAAAATTGATGCGCATTCTAATAATTTCTATATTTATAACCAAATATTTTATTATTTATTTATTTATTTGCATTATAAATCTTGCAATGTACTATTTTTCTTACAGTTGTCAATAATACATTTTAAATTAAATGATATTATGAGATATTTTGAATTTATTATTATTTATATTGTAAAATGTAAACCAACAATTTTCATTTCAATACATAATATTGTAGTTAGTTAGGTTGTAATAGTTTTGGATTATAGTTAGTTAGGTTGTAATAATCTGGGTTTTTTTTATCGGATTAGGGTTTTCTGCCAATTTGAGATTTTAGTGGCCATTTTTTCATCGATTTAAACCATTATTTATTGTAGTCTATGTATGATTATATACTTTATCCATGATAATTCTATGTTTTTTGTTTTATGTGATGCAAATTTAATGGTTAACATAAGTTCATACAGCGAAAGAACATTTCAATATTCGTAAATTGATAAAAAAATGAAAGTTAATAATGTAATACCGGTAGTTCTTATTGGATTATTAAAAAACAACATTTATAATGAATTTTTATAATTGTTTTGGATTTTTTTAAGGCTTAATCGAACCGATTCGGCTGATTCCCGATCCGGATGGTTTATTCACCGATCCAGATGGGTTTTTGGGGTTCGTGAACCGGGGCATCAATCCGTTTTTTAAACCATTGGTTTTAGAGATGGAGAGGAGGGATGAAGAGAATGCAGGTGGGAGAACTTACCTCGAAGAGATAGGTTATGGGGGTGTGCGGGAAGAAGTGCTTCACATTCAACCAAAAGGGAACATAGGAACATAGAAGATGAACAGAGGTTATACCTATTCATTTTCCCTTTCCTAGAAAATAATTTATCTAAATATTTTCTACATTCATTTTCCCTTTCCTAGAAAACAAGTTATCTAAATATTTTCTAAATCTTCGTCCGATATACTCTCTTTTATAATGTATAGGGAACTAGCCCATGTGGTCAGGATGTAGTCCCAAAAAATGGAACTTTGTAAAACTGGAGGTTCTTAAAATAGGAAAAAGGCTTTGGCTTACTAATTTATTTAATCAATCCCTTTTCGAACAAATGGCCTGGGATGTGTCCCCAGGCGTTGAACCTTGGATTCAGTCCTAGGTTTTTACGGTCATGTGGAAGCCCCATCTGGAGGCCCTCCCTTAGCACGACACTTTTTGTGGATGGCCTTAGGTGGTCGGCCATCAACTCAGACCAGAGTGACTATTTTCTTTAAAGACCTTGATAGATGCAGTCTAACTTTGTAGACTGGTTACCGGAGTTGGGGTCATCCAAAACCTGCAAGGTCAAGTTCCGAGTGACTCAGGTTAGTCTGAGTGAGACATGCTGAGTTTCCGAAATCAAAATGACTTTTAGTGGTTATTGCATCCTCATGCCAGGGTTGCTACATTATTCTTTATAACTGCTAGCCTGTTTATTCCACATTATTAACTTTTTGATTTCCATTTAAGCAAATCACTGCATGAAATTACTGCTCCATGAGTGGACAAATGGTGCTTGTTTATGAAAGCTTCCCTACATTGTGGGACAAATGTACCGCACTGATGACACATATTTCCACTTATATTCTCATCTGTAACTCAAGATCAAACATGCTCTCAATGCCAGCATTTGTAATTACTCCCACACACACACGTACCCAAAACCCATCTCTCCAATGGTTTGATGTGTACATCTGATCTATGCGTGTATGTAAATGCACACATACCCAAACGCGTGCGCGCATGCGCGTGCACACACACACACATATATATATATAGGAAGCCACTACGCAACGCCTATGGGGAAAATGAACAGTGTTTTCGCCTATAGGCTCAGCGCCATCCGATTTTTTTAGATGGCGTTGATTAAAAGGGACCTACTCTGTCCATTTCGGTACCGCAACGGCCATAATCGGTCTGTTGCGGTATTTTTACATGCATAAAAACACGGGAAACCGCCACGGCTCCTATAGATCCATGGCGGTTTTTAAGGCAAAACCACCATGGACATAGCATGTCCATGGTGGGGCGAAACACTATTCAATTTCGCTTATAGGCTTTTTAAAGCGGTGGAATTTGAACGATTACAATGTATAGCAATTTCTTTAATGAATAAACTTATTTATCGAAAGGAAAATGCACACTACTTCTGCATAGTTTGATTTTTCTCTAAGAAATGATTGTTGAGCCATCCTAGGCAATAGACTTTGATGATCCACCATGCCGCAGGCATAACAAATGAGTTTGTTTAAGCGAAGTATACAATACACATCTTGTATGGTGTACATTATACAGGTGGGGATCCTCATGATTCATGGTGAAGATGAACTGTGTTTTCTGTTGAATGTCTACCATTGGATTCAGTGCTATGTTTCAACTCCACTAGTTCAACATGGATGATGGATTCCGTGCGTGTATATATATACAATACATCGGCTGTTTTTGGTATAATTTTCATTTCCATTTGTTTATTGAGTCAACCTGTGCTGTCCACAATTCTTTTCTTGCTGTCATCCTCTTATCGTCCACATCCTATTTGGAAGCTGCTTCCCAAGCCTGTCAGAAGTTATGAGGTAGGAAGCTCATGTCATTTATGAGTAAAGCACCTTAAGTCTTGTTACTTTAAAATTTGGCGTGCACCTTTTAGGAGTTCCTTTCTTTATCCATGTCTTTTTGTTTTTTACTGATATTGCTTGTTTTTGGAGTTAAAAAGTATAATCTGGGTCCAAGCTGTTTAGGTTGGACAGAGGATCCTGTCACCCTAAATGACCATGCTATGTGTTCTTGTTACTCTTTTGCGGTTGTTTGGATATGCACAATAATATGAGGTTTACATAATGGGTGTGCTGATTGTATGATAACCTACCCGAGGAGGTGTAGATTTACCATCTCATCCTTCCATCCTTTAGTGTCTCGTTATTTTTGTCTCCTTGAAGACATTTTTTCATACTTCACTTGTTACTGCCATTGGATTCGTATGGTAGGTCACACATCCACTGCTCCAAACTGAGGGTTTCGTCATTGCCGTGTTTCCACAATCATCATTCGAAATGTTTTCATTAGTTTATACTCTTTAGATTATAATCTTCAGGGTGATAATTAGAATTGTTCTGAAGAAGCATATGTTCGTTTGCATGAATCATATGGAATGCCTTTGTTTTTATCTTTTCCAGTTTTTGCAATCTTATTTCAGCCTTAACATCTACCAGTCATGGCATAGATAAATTGCTGTCATTAAACTACATGGTTTTGGACTTCATATCTTGAGTCACCTAAAAGCAAAACAAAAGGAGTTGAGGGCATCTTAATGGCCAAATGGAATATATGCCAGTGATTACATGGATTCAGCTCCACATCCCACTCATATCCATTGGACTTGTTGCAACTGTACTCCATACCTTATGCATGTTCTAGAAGTTATATGTCGGTTAAATGACTGAGTCAGGAAATCCCAAATATCCATGGTTTGAGAAGTTATTTGATATCTCCTCTTGTGGCATCTCTTTCCTCAGTACACTTAATTGCTAACTTTGCTGGCCCAACTAGATGATAACACTTCTGTTTTCTTGGGTCGATGATGAGATCGCTTTGTGTATTTCTTTTTGCATTACTTACTTATAGGTACATTGAAACATCCCGAAGTCTGTAGATTTGTTGCCTATGCAGCATATCATTTCTTATCTATATGCAACTGGATTGTCTTTTCTGTGGCTTCTTCTTTTTCACTTGGTAATTGTGGCTTCAGTGCAAGGTTCTCTCAGGAGATTAACCTTTTCAAAACGACTCTTCTAATGGGCATCCTAACTCCTGTACAATCGTTCGATGCTTTTCCGTGGTTTCTCTGTTCCTTTTTTATTATTCTCTGCCTGGGGATTTATTTTCTTTCTTTAAGTTGCTTTTTAATCTGTAAACATGGTGATCAGTCAGCCCGTATAAAATGCCTCATAGTTCAACAAGCAAGGCAGTCAAGCAATCTTGTCGTAGTGCTCATTTCAGTGAGGGAGGAGAGGAAATCTCATTTTATTTTGGAGACATAAGAAATGTGCAAAATATCCTTGTGTGGTTTATGAAATTGTTAATGCATCCGATAGCCACTCTGAAAGGGTCAAACATAGATGGGCTTCAATTTATGTCCTAAGCACAACTTTCTTTAGATTATAAAGTAAACTTTAGAGCATACACATGTGGAAAATGCCTTATTTCTGAAACTGCTTTCTTGGTGTTTGTGTTTTGTATTTTTTTATCATTAAAAACTAAAGACTCCACCACTATGGGGTTATGGCACGTGTTGTTTGTTTATTATGATCTGCTATTTCTTAGTTTTGTCAAAGTGAGCTTGTTGAGAATCTTGTGATATGATCTGTTGAGTAGCTAAGAGATTTTGGAACTGATTATTCCATTATCTAAGTAATGCATTTACTAACAATAACACCCTTGCATGAGTAAATGTATGACTTCATTCTGCTGGTGAATTATATATCATTGAAGAACAACTCAGATTTCTGTTTGAGACTAGAAATTAGTTTCTTATTGCTGTTTATGACTTGACAGATGCTACCACTCTGTTTTCCTGTTGTTTGTACAATTGAATGATTTAAGTCTTATAAAGAAAATAGAAAATGCAAGAACAGGCCAAAATTACAGTAGCCAGACATCGTCAACACCGATTACATGAAGCACATTGGAGTTGAGATATGTGTGCCCTACGAGGAATTTCAATTTCTTGGAGTGGCTCTTGTTGTTGAAGTTTGATTATGCTGGATTTTGTAATTTATCAATCCTTTTTTTGGTGCAAACTTCTAAGAATAATAATAATAATAATAATAATCTTCTCTTTTGCAGTTGACTGTGTTGAATAAAGGGAGCTTTGATGAGCAGAGCCTTTCCAAGAACAAGATTTGTAATTTCCAATTCAGGATCAAGGAAAACAGTGTGGAATATTTTTATCCTGGAGCAAAGATTTGAGCAGGGGCTTTGAAGTTTCTGGCTTTCTGAATGTGATTTATCTGGTTTTCAAGGGTTTCTAGGCTTCTTCCTTTACACTGTTTCATGCCTTGTTTTCCTTCTTATGTTAGACTCAAAGACATTTATGGTTGTTCATTTGGTTTCTTCTGATAGGTTTATTGATGCATCTTGTTATTAACTGGGAACTTTTCTTTTCCTGTTCTTTCTCCATGGTCTGTTGGTTATATGAGATTTACAACTGTTGGGGTTCTTAAACTATTTGGCTGTTTTTATTATTTTTCACTGGGCTTTGAACTGCAGAGTTTGATGTTGCTTTTTTTCTGTTTTTAAATTTTTTTTTTCTTCTGTCTGCTTGTCTCAATTGATTTTCTGCATGGTAGAGTCGTTTTTTTTTTATGTGTATGTGCAGGCTCTTATGCCTGTCACTTTTCCAAATGACTTTTGGATGGCACAATATTATTTTGATTCATTACATATGCAGAGAGGAGGATTTTCCAAATGGCTTTCTGTTTTAGGGTTTCACTACAAATGCAGAGAGGAGGATTGTAGAGGCTGTTCAAGGAGAAGAGATTGCTGCTCTGAGTATTGGGATCGGGTGGAGGGGTTTACTAGAACAAGTGGAGAGGTTTAAAGATGGTGTTAACAAAGCTGAAAACAAACCAGGAAGGCATTGATCGTGATGAAATTTACTCTTGGGTTCCTTGTGAGAAGGGCTTCCAATTTCTCTGGCGTATAGAATGCCAGGTGAGTATGCTTTTTTGAGTTTTTTCTCTTTTATTTGTTCCTTTTAATGGATAAATGGAGTGCTGCTTGGTTCTGAAAGTTTGCTATGAAGACTGTGTTTTGGTGAAAGCCTTTATTAAAACCAGCGCAATGGTGACTGAAAAGAAATTTGGACTTCTATATTTGCATGGAAGTTAACTCCTTTAGGCAACATTATTCAAAGAATTAGATGTCAATTGTTGATGATTTCTACACTACTTCTCAAGATCGTTTCCTACTGTTGAACTTCCAGAAACATACAAGTGATTCTTTTCTGTGCAATAAAAGTACTATTTTTTTTTTTTAAATTTCTTTCTAGTTTATTCTCATGGCTGTAATGCTAACGTGCTACAACATCTGGCATGAATTCAGTTACTGCACCACTAATTCCCATAATTGAAGATAAATGTTGACCTTTCTGAGGAATACTCATGATTCACTTGATGCCATCAAAAGATAATTTTATTAGCCTTGTTGATGCTGCTGGTTTTGTGTGTTTTTCTTTTCCTTTTCGAATTTTATCCGAACCATGGGTTTAACTCAGATTGCTCGCCCAGCTTTCGATGAGTTCCTGAAGAAATAAATTGCAACTTTTAAGTTCAAGTCTATCGACTCCGACACTTTTGTTCTCAAGGCTAATGTTCCTGGGATAGAGAAAGAAATCGATTTGCAGTTATGGGTGGAGGGTACAGGCATTCCTTCTGATGCCATGGAACATGTTTCTACTCTGTATGTGAAGATTGTCTCCTTGTCACAAGATTTTGTGTTGGGAAAGCTGCCCACAGAGGAGGATGTGTTGGACTGGCGTGGCCAAGAATGGGAGCTTTACTTGGAGAACCTCCCCAAAGTTCTTGATCCCTCGCAGGTACTCCCTACTCATTTGTGTGGTTCTGTAGTTTTGATATTTTGAATTGTTTTGCAATTTTTTCCCAAATTTGGCATTACTTTGTTTTTTGACAGATGAACAAATGAGAATAATATTGGAAATTTTGAAGGCGGCAATGCAACAATGGAAAGAATTTACAAGACCTTGGTAAAGAAAATGACAAAATATATATTTAGTCCACCGTCCCAAGCATTCCTCATTTTGCTTCCAGTTTGTTTTCCAGTTAAAGATTTGCCAAGCCATTGAGCTAGGGCAATTTTTTATTTTTTTCTTTTTGTATGAATAAGCAAGAGAAAAGTTGAACCATGAAAACTCCGACTATGTACATGGTGCATGCCATTTTAGACAAAATGAACACAGCATATGTTGCATATCTTTTACTCATTTTGATTTTTTGATGACTAAAATGAACCCATATCCACACACACACGTGTGTTTGTGTGTGTGTGTGTGAGAGAGAGAGAGAGAGAGCAAGGTGTTCTATGAATTGGGTTTCTTTCTATTCTCATTATTAGAGGTTGGGATAATTCTCTGTTTCTTAAGAGATCTCTTGAATCTCAACTATTTCTTGCTCTCACTGTATCCTGTCAGTGCTGCATTTTCTAGCTTTAAGATGTAATCTCAGCCGATAATTTCCCCTTAATGGTTTTCTACCTAATGATTGGGGCAAAAATTTCCCCTTAATGGTTGTCTGCCTAATGATTGGGACAAACCAGATACGGGATTTATAAAAGAAATAAAAAACTGAATTCTCAATTCTTGTTGCTCTTGATTGCAGGTTCTGGCATTGGATGAGTGATATTGATTGGCCGAGCACAATTATTGGGAGGTGAAGGTGGCGTTTCTCACTCTAGCTGTTGCCTCAGGATGCAGGGACTACTTTGGTATGACGGAGAAAACTTTGAAAGAGGTTGGAAGGATGAAATACCTTAGGCCTCTCTATACCGCACTGGTTCAGGGCAACTCCAAGGAAGAAGGGAAGATTCTGGCGAAGAGGATCTTTGCAGAGGCCAAGGATATGTACCACCCCATTGCCCAAGGGGTGGTGGAGTCCATACTTTTTAGGCACATGTGATCATTCTTCTCACTCTAACAACACTTTCTTTTTAGCGGTTGGACAAAAGCATAGTTTTTTGGGTTTTATAAATTAATTTTTGATTTTGGGCTCTTTTTGATGGGAACGACAGCGTTGCTGTGCTGTGTAGGAGAGAAAGTAATACTGATTCTTGTTGAAACTATGTTATCTAGATCATTTCTGTCGTTTTTCCGTTTCTGTGTAAAGTTGATGAAAACATATAGAGCATGAATCACGTGTAGGATGGTAACCATTTGGATTATTTTGGTTGAATTTTTGGGCTGGTTTCAGATATCAAATTTTGAACTGCCACAATCGATGGTTATTGGTTAGACCAAGTTGAAATTATGGTATGAAAATGGGCTTGCTGCCCGGTTTTAAAAGTCGATAATCTGCGTTTGGATTCAGTAACATCAGGAAAGGCTAGATTCTTTCTAACATGCACTATTCTCCCCATCTTGATTTAAATCGTCTAACAAAACTGTTACAGATAGAGAATATGTTCAAAGTAAATCTGTTTTTTCGGTTCCCTTTATTCAGCTGCTTTGCAGTGTATTGAAGGGTTGAGCACCCGCCATCCATTATTGTGACACGTTGATAAGATAATTTGTCTGGGGTGTTGATGCTTAATGGTTCAGTAATTTGTGTGGGAACCATGAGAGCTGTGGAATATGGTTCTATTATCCTGAAGCATAAAGGATTGATATGATGCTTAATTGATCGATTATTGGTTATCATTATTTATTTTCTTGAAGCATATGTTCCCTTGTTTAGAGATGTCTTGATCATGTGAAATGAATTTCTTAGGTGCTTTTCTGCAACTCGTTTTTTCATTTATTTTGAACGCTTTAATTAAAATTATATTTCTATAAGAATCTGTACTAGAATGTATAGTTGCATCATCATAAAAGAAAAGAGAATAACAAAAAAACCAAAATACATGTAAAAATTTAAAACAACGTAAAAAGAACGTCAGAACAACAGTGGCAATGGGGTGGGCCTGGGCCGGGGCCGGGTCAACCCTGGTCTCTGTAAGGCTGGCCCTGGCTCTATTAGGGCTGGACCAGGCCAAAAACAAATGAAGAAAAATAAATGAAAAAACAAAGAAAAAAGGAGGGTCAGGACGGGCCAGCGCTTGCTTTAGCTAGGCCTTGGGCCATTACCCGGGCCCTGATTTTTTTAGGGCCGTGCCGACTGGGCTGGGCTGCCGAAGCTACCGTCACACTTAGTGCTTGATGTCCGCTTGTACACAAACTTCCACTGTTCACAATCCTTTTCTTTATTCAAAGATCAACCTTCTTTACCTTGTATGAGAACCAGCAATGTCTACCTGTGTACCGTGTTTTGCCGCTGCTTCATGGGTCATGCAAAAACCACAGGTACCTGGTAAAGTGAGAATGACACTTGAGCGTTCCTTGTGCGTAAGACCGCCTATTGGATACCTGGATTACGTGATGCACTACCGTCAAAGTTCAGCTTGATGGTGGTTTCCACTCGCTAGCTTGATTAACAGCTTGATGGTGGTTTCCACTTGCTTGGTTTCTGAGTTTTCTTGACCTTTAAATGTGCCACCTTCTTCCAATTAGACATCAAGCCTTCATGCAAAAGTCCTCTGAAACTCTTTTCTAGGCACTGCAAATGGCTTTTGTAGTTTGAATCTTGTATTTGATAGCGCATTGATAAAGACCTTTACCTTGAAAGCTCTGTTATTATACTCTTTCCAAATTTGGCATATAAGGTCTGCAATTGCTATTCTCCATTGATTTATACCTTAGGTAACGGTGAGGAGCACCATTGCAACAGTAGCTGTTTGGCTGATCATGGTGTAAACCAATGAAGATTGAAGGCTCTCAAAAGCCAAGACCATAGAACACAATGTAGGGCCAATGCATAAACATAAAAACTGGAGTGGTCTTGGTCAAGGCCTGGCCTGGCCTTGCCCTCGGGCCATGGTGGCCCGACCGACCCTAGCAGCCCTTGGGCGACATCTTGTGGCCAAAGCCCTTGTTTTTTTAGGGCCTGGCCTGGCCTATTCTCCTGGCCCGTTGCCACCCTTAGGGGCATCATCTGGGATTAATTAAGCTTGATTTTTATTTTAGATCCATTATCAAGAAGCATTTTGTTCTGTTTATTGAAAAGGGACTTGGAATAATTAATGCTTTTTCAAGAAAAGGATGTGGCCTTTTAGATGGCAATTTTCTAATAATACCCTTCTTTATTCAAATCATATTAGTTTTGGATTACTGATTTCGGTAGCAACCACCACAACTTTGTTAGGAGTGCCTAATTCATAGGCTTACGCCTACTAGTATCGAGACTACTCATTTTCTTTGGAGTATACATGGAATCCCAAAAAATAAACTTTCTCTTCATCTTTTTCATTCTTTTAGTGACTATATTAAGGGATCTGACATCGAAAATCAGTATACTGGAAATTTGGATAATGCCACCTTTATGAGAGTTGTTTTTTCACCAAAAGATAAATGTCTTGTTTTTCATGAATCTAGCTTCGTCAAAAGTCTGTCTTTCACATGATCCTGTATAGCTTTGGCTGGTCTTCTATTAAGTAAAGGCATGCCTAGATACTTGGTTGGAAGGGATTATGGTCCATAATATCATTTCTAGAAAACCATCTGCGTATTGCAAATGCGAGATAACTAGACCACCTGTAAAAGCTGCAAAGCCACTCAGCAACCCACTGCCATTAAGGAGCACATCAGAGTGAAAGATTCAGAAACCGTGGTAAACAAAACAGGAGAGAATGCCCTTCTGGAATTCCTATTGTGCATTTGAAGTATCTAAATGATATGCTATTGATCAAAATTGAATAGTCAAGAGTAGGATAGGTAGCTCTACATCTAGTTCATCCATGTCTCTGCAAAGCCTATTAACCTTTTGATTTTCGAAAGGTAATCCCATTTGATTCTATGACATTTCTTTTCAAAATCTAGTTTACAAATTATGTCTGCTTCCCCATACTTTCTTGAGCTACCAAAATGCTGTCCATAATGTAGTGATCTTCGACAAATTCTATTTGGGGACCTAAAATAAAGTGTTGAGGCACACCTTTCAGCCTACTGCATGCACTTCGATTATAATTTTGTATAGGCTTGATGAGAGATTGATGGTTCTTTTATCACATAAAGTTTCCATAACACGCTCAAAGTGATTCGCTTGTGATTTTGTTAGCTTTGTGAAAAGCACATCTTTAATGGAGATCTTAGGTCTTTTTCAGTTTGAAATGCTCTTGGGAAATATTCTAGTACAGTCTCTCTCTTTCAGTGGGTTTCCAAAGTTCTCCGCGAGCTATAGTACCATTTTTTTGGTACTTCCAGTAGAGTTCGCCTGTATCCAAAAATCCAAGTTCTATTATGATTAAGCCTTTAAAATCTTCTAAGAAATAACCTCTTTAGAAGACCTTGTCCTTTTAGTACAACAAAATCCCTTTTTATTTCTCAAAATAATCCAAAAACAGAAAACAAGAGTTCTATATCCTTAAAAGCCCATTTGGTCCCGGGAATGGTTCTCTGGGAGACTGTTTCCATGAAAACCGCCCGTAAATGCTGTTTGGGCATCTGCATGGAGACCGAATTCCATAGTTTAATTATTTTTTTGGAAATGTCAATCAATTCAACCAAAATAGGTAGAATTATCATTTCTGAGAGATTGAAAGAGAGCCATGGCCCCAAAAACTTTTAATCAGTGATATTTTATAGAGGGGGATGAAATCTACCTTCTTTCAGACAATCCAAACAATAGACATGCATCTTCCAGGTCATGCCATCCCAATAGCAGACACCTATATTCTAGGAAATGTCAATTCTCGGAGCTACATTTCTATGGGATACCCTTTTCCAAGGAAGCAAAAATGGCCTAAATCTCTTTCTCCTTCTAACTAACCTTATCCACTTCGAGACAAGTGGATGGGGTGTAGGTTCCATGTGGGCCCAATGTCCAACTCAAAAAGGGGCCATCCAAGTGTGGAGCCTTGGCCATCGGCCCCTATGTGGGTCCCACAATTTAACCTATACCAAACTTTGTAAAACCTAAGAAAAGACATAAAATAATTTTAAAGAATAAAATAAATTTGAATTTGCTAAAAAATAATTAAATTGAATAAAAAATTAATAACGCATAAATATAATTTGAAAAAATTATTCTCAATGTCTTATAATTTTACAAAACACAAATAAGCACTTTTTAAAAGATGATTTGATCCAATTGGCCAGGAAGACTATCTTTTCAATCGAACCCAACATGACTCATGACCCACAGTCAATCACAATAGCTCATGATTGCCCATCAAAATTCGTCAAAAAATAATGGAGACATGAATCTAACGTGTGGAGTATAGGTTCCCTCCTAAGGATAATTCCTATCCATTAGGATGGGGTGCTCTCTTCACCACATGCAAAGCTCTAGCAACATGCATGAGACCACAAGTCTTCTAGCCCACAATATTATCATTGAGCATCTCTTTGATCTTAATGAGAAATTACTACACAATAGAACTCTCTTCCTTTGTGTCATATGCCAAGGTGCAAGGGTTTTGGACTCGATAAGAGGTTTAGACAGCTCAACCTAGATGAGTGCTCAAGGTAATCTTAAGTTGGATGCGGGAATGAATGCATAAAACAATTTAAGAAGACTTCAAACAACACTCTGACATGGTATGTTTGTGTATAAAGCTTCATTTTATTCTAGATCCTGAAGTTCTACGGTATATATGGACATCTTGTTAACTACATTCACTTTCGCGTAAAATAGAGGAGTGAAAAACCTTTGTTTAGTCAATAATAGATAAATTCACCATTGATACAAGGTGATACAAGATACACCCTTTGTCTATCGCAATAGATAAAACTTTTGTTTAGTCAATAATAGACAAATTACTTGATAGTTGCTGATATGGATGTGCTAACTCTTTCCAGAGGTGGTGTGTATCTGCCCATCCTTCCTCGAATCCTTGCACATTGTCTATCGTAAGATTTTGTACAGCGACTCAGAGATGTATTTAATGCTTCCGTTAAGAGTATAGTGGTGGAAAGGGCTTATATTTTTGCTTTGCCCCTCCTGCGAGTATAAATATTGTTTCATCCATGAGGTGTTACATTGCTCTAGTCCTCATGATATAGGGCTATTTTTGTTAATAATAGACTTTGAAAGGAAAAAAAAAAGGCTAAAGTTGTGTGCACTGGAGCGCATTAGTAATCAAATATTTTGGACAGGCGGATGAATAAATATGTATCGGAGCGCGATTCACATGTATCGGAGCACATAAGTAATCAAATATTT